GTTAAGAAGTAGAAGATTTCTTAAGAGATAAAAATAACCAGAGCTTGGGTTGGCTCTTGATAGTCTAGGACAATACACAGATGCCTTCCCTTAATGCTCTTGCCTGAAATCTGTCACAAAACAGAAATTAATCCCCAAAATACTGTGTGTGAAATAAACCTCACTCCAATGGGCAGCAATGCATGATTCCATTCATATGTACTTTCAATGTAGCAAACGTACGCTTCAGTGAAAACAGTTGGAACCAGGTTTCTTGTATGAGCCAAGTCTGTCTGGAAGGGATGTTCAGGAAGACAGGGACATTTTCTATCACGGCAGGAGTTCAGGTTGTCTAAGTATGTGCACTTGTAGAAACTCTTCACACACTGCACTCCATACTCAAACATTCATAGTTAATGGATGACCCTCAAAAACAACTGCCAAGTATATTGCCATGTGTCAGGGTTCACTGGTATTTGTACCTGATTTTATGTTTTGTTTGGTTTTGGTTTTAAAGAAAATATAGCCAAGGAATCAGATGGATACAGGACTAGATATATGATAGAGTATAGTAAAATGTTGACAAATGGATGTTCACAATATAATTCCTTCCATTTTTACACACATTTACAAATGTTCATAATATAGTTTGAGACAAAAAGCTAAGGGCTTTGAAGACCTGAATAACATGACCTTTGCTCTTGATTCAGAAGCATTTGCCCTTGGGTTTGGGAGAGGTCACACAAGCCCTTAGCATTTGTATGGAGCTTCAAGTACTTTCAATTGTCTAGTTTTCATATGGACAGTCCTAGTATAATATAAAAGTTCTCTTTGAATATTTTGCCTAGATACCTAATCCCAAACTGCATATTTTATGAAATTCTAACACTACCAGGCACTCCTTTTGCTCTCCTTTTTCACGTTCTGACTTGATAAACATTTGACAGACAAACTAGCTGTATTTCATGTCTAACAATTGAGCAAGCTGTCGTACAGACCTGAACACCCCAGTGCAGCCCATACTCCAGAGTGGCACATTGACTCAGGTCCCTGACGTAGGCCTGCATGCATGTAATGTTATATATTACTATCACTTTCTTTTTTGCTGTTTTTTTAATGTGTATGCGTGTACTGCCTGCATGTAGGTAAGTGTACCCATGTCATGCAATGCCCACAGAGGACAGAAGAGGCTGTCAGGTTCCCTGGAACTGGAGTTACAGACCGTAGTTAGCTGCCATGTGGTTGCTGGGATTCGAACCCTGGTCTTCTGCAAGAACAGCCAGTGTTCTTAACCGCTGAGCCATCTCTCCAGCCCCACTGTCACATTCTTAATGGTGACAATAATATAACTCTTTCAAAAAAGAAAATGGAAAGTTTTTACTTATTTTTCCATCTTCAAAACAATTCTGGGAGGTCAATATTATTTTTACCATTTTGGGTCTGAGTCTGAAGTTCAGAGAGTTCAAGAAAGTGGTTCAAGGGTATACAATGAGGAAGAGGCGTAACCCAAACCAAACAAGTGAACAAAAATCTCATGTTAAAAGCCAGAGTTCAGTGGTGGGGTGCTCAGAGTTCCTGGGTTCATTCCTTAGACACAAAAATGTGGAAAAATGCCCTATCGCTCTTTGGAATTCTATCTTTGGTCTGCCTAACTAGTTTGTAGTTAATATGTTTAATAATTTTACTTGTATCATTAATGTCCTGTTTACATTTTATCATGGGTTTAAAATTTAAGATGAACTATTTAAAATGGTCTAAAGATGGAGCCAAGGCTATATTTTGTTTCAGTTAAGAAGCACAGACCAAATATAATTTTTAATGTTACTACTTTTTGGTGCTAGAAATTGAAACCAGAGACTTTTGCATGCTACAAAGGTGCCCTTCCAGTAATCTATATTTTCTGTCCCTATATCAGTTTATTCTCATCTTCAGCCTATATTTCATCCATATGTCATTTTCTTAGACATATAGAGAGAAAGCCTCAAAATAAATAGGTGTATTAATGATTCCTTTAGACTTACTAATAATTTCTTCTGAAACAAATAATTAATCCTGGGATAAAATCAAGATATACTTGCCTTTATTGACTCCAATAGTATATCAGTTTCCTCTTTATCCTCAAACATAGACCTATTGGGAAATTGTGCATTCAGGTTTTTTGCATGTTTGAACCATATTTAAATAATAATAAACAACTTTGAGCACAAAAATTTTCAGTATTTTGGTTTATTCCCACATTTCCCAAATCACGCTGTACAATTTAATTTGTTTGCACAAGTGTTTCAGTTGCTTCCCAAGGTGATCTATGAATTAATATTCACTCCAATAATGTATAATGATGCTATTAGCTCCCAGACACAAAATATTTTTTCTGACCGTAATCAATCCCAACTGCAGATAATAAGGACCATGATAAGGATTCAAAACTGAATACATTATGGCCTCATTTAGTATTTTGAATAGACAAATGAAACACAAATCCAGTTTTGAATTTTTTTGTAACACTAATCTGTTTTGATTTTGTTGTTGTTTAGTTTAAGACAGGGTCTCCCTGTAACCCCAGCTGGCCTGGAACTTGCTATGCAGGCCAGGCTAGCCTCAGTCTCACAGAGATTCACCTGCTTCTCTCTCCTGAGTGTTGGGATTAAAGTTGTGTACTACCACATCCAGCTGGTAACACACTAATCTTAAATGGTGTATTTTGTCTTATTGACAAAACTTCTTTATTGGCTTAATAAAAATAAAATCTTAGAATCAGCTGAAGGAAATTCACAAGCTAATGTTCTTGATCATTTAAAAGTAAGAGTCTTTTATTATCACACCTCTGTGTGCTGAAGAAACCCTTTTGAATCCCACTTACCAAGCTGACGTGGAGAACAAGGCCAGCACATAGGGTAACCTGGGCCTTATCTGATCAGAGAAACTAAAAGTAGAGGCTAGCATCTGTTCATTGAAAAGGCAGCTGCTTTTCAACTACGTGCCAACCAAAAGGTGACTTATTGTCAATCGCTGTACACCTGTATTTATCGTGGCATCTTTAAGGACCTAGAATTGGGATACCAGTCTGGCTCCATTTGCATGCACCGAATAGTTATGCAGTTGTTTCAAGTTGATTTTGACACCAAAGCAGCCCATGCTTTTAGGTAAAAGCAGATCACGTATATTGCATCAAGTAAAAGTTATATTGGAAGAATTATGGAGTTACCCTGCATTTGCAGGTAGGAGATAGGGACCCAGTCTTGTTAACATTCACTGTTCCTATGTGAGCATCTTTACTACTGCTGAATTTGTAGAAGAAATGGAATGGGAGTAGAGAAGTTCCCATAAAGTTAAAAAGGCTGTGAAGATTGCTTCATAGTTAATGTTGTAAATGCCTTTGGTTGATTATGTGGTGTCTGAACATGTGCTGATTGCTTACCGTGGTTCCATCATGCAAGGCCAGGCAGATGATGCGCTTCTAATAATTCCCAAGGGACGGGAACAAGAGAGCCTATAAAATAGATGTGCATATTTTAAAAGTTCCTGAAGAAAATGTCACTATGTTGACTTTGGCCTTCTTTTGTATTCTGTCCCCTGGTAACTGTGACTGTCAATGGAGCACTTCTCCAACAAAGAAGGACCTAGCCAGGTCCACATGTATTGTCTAAAGCCAGATGCTGAATTTCCTCACTCTTAGGATAATTTTGGTTCAAGGTATAGTCCCTTAACAAGCTCCCTGCTTCAAAAGCCCCAAGCCCTCTTTGTTTTGTTATGCTTGCCTAAACATGTCTCTCCAAAGAGACGGATTATAAATACCACTTTATTATAATCCTCTCCTTTGCTTTTAAATGTAGACCACTAAGTGCATGTCAATGGTCTATCTTTGACCCCTAATTTAGCACATTTTCTTGGAAAAAATTGTGTCTTGACAAGCTGTGTATTGGCAGCAGATGCAAGGCAGTCATTTGGATACCTACATTAGGTGGACTTACAAAGTCAGGCAGACAGAGGATGCTTTGGTTTCTCACTAGCTGAGCATTTCTAAAGGATGTCTTTTCATTTTTTTTAAAAACAAAATTCTAAGTATTCTATAATAACTTCAATTTGTCCTTTGATACTCAGAGGAGTATTTTTAATTTCTAGTCAGTTGGCTTTTAAAGTTACATTGTTGTCACTGATTTGAAGTGTAGTGTTTTGGTCAGAAAATATAATATATAGTGTATGTTATGTTTTTGAGCATTCTTTGTATGCACAATAATATAACAATCTTGATTTCCGTAGAGGAAAATGTTTCTTGTATAATCATAAACTCATCATGCAATCCTATCTGCTGTGTAGGTTTGAAGTGTGTCAGTCTCTACAGGCACTGTTAAGCCTATCCTGTCTTAGAGACTGCCAGAGTTAACCCTGACTGTCAACTTGACAGGACTTAGAATCACCATAGAAACAAACCTCTGGGCTTATCTGTGAGGGAACTTTCTAGACTAGGTTAATTGATGTGGGAAGACCATTCTAAAGGTGGGCAATGTTGTGCAGTGGGCTGGGGTCCCTGGGCTGAATAGAAAGCAGAGAGTGAGCTGAGCAGTCCTATTCTCTCTCAGCTTCCTGACTGTAGATACAATGTGTTACCTCGGGCTCCTGCTGCCATGCTTTCCCCTCTGTGAGGTACTGTAGCCCCTAGGACCACAATAAACTTTTCCTTCCTTAAGTTATTTTTTTGTTCATGTATTTTGTTGCCACAACAAGACACTAATATAGAGACCTCCAAAGAATTTCCATCGCTCCCCCTTGAACTTTTAACACTTTTCCCCCTGTGTATTTTTAATATCGTATGATTCCAAGCATCATAGGATGACTTCAGTTTTATTATGGATTGCACTGCACATGAACTTAAGAATCTCTTACCACATTTGCATTGTGGTGCTTTTGATCAGAGGTGATTGTAAGTCACTGATGCTCACAAAGCTGACAAGTTTTGTTTTATCATGGTTTTGCTGCCTCACTGGGCACTTTCTGAGAGACCTCTTTCTCCTTTATTTCAGTTTGCCAAGGCACGAGTAACAGGCTCACCCAGCTGGGCACTTTTGAAGACCACTTTCTGAGTCTGCAGAGGATGTTCAATAACTGTGAGGTGGTCCTTGGGAATTTGGAAATCACTTACGTGCAAAGGAATTATGACCTTTCCTTCTTAAAGGTTAGTTCCCTGAATTTGGTTGTCTTAAACATTAGAGAATTAAATTTGAACAGATAGAAATCTTAGTGGAATTTGACTGAAGTAAGTATGCTTACTGGATCCAAGAAACTACAGGTGAGTTTCATGAGACAGCCACTAGACTAGCTATGGCCAAGTTATTCCTGGAAAAGAAGGTGGGAGAGAAACAAGCTCTTCTGGTGTTCAACTGTCATCATAGACACTAACATTAATCTTTGGCCATTGCCTCAGCCGGAGAGTGCTGGCATATAGCTTTCCAAATAATAATAGCAATAAATATGAAAGGCTGGCATATAGCTTTCCAAATAATAATAGCAACAACACATATAAAAGACCCTGATTTATAGCTTGTACCAATCTACATACTTGGTACAAATAGTCAAGTATAGCTGATTTCGAGCTACCAGGAGTTTACAACCAGTTTTTAAAAATATAAAATATTTAGCTATAGGTGCTAGTGAACCAGTTAGAGCCAACTCCAAAGGCTTCAAAGTTTGTTTAGCAGATACTTGGATTTCATTGGGCTTGCTTAGTCTTCTGGTTTTATTTCGTTTCTTTCCTCCCCTCCCACTCTCTTCCTTCCACAAATAATCATATGAGATACATTCAAAAATATTCTTTTAATTTCCCTTTTATTTGTGGTAGAGTAGGAGTCACTGCGTTCCCAAATGATGCATACTGTTCTTTAATGCAGGCTTCAAATGCAGAAGAGAAAGAATCATTGCAAATCCTGCCACACCCTTTACCCACATACAGTTGTCTACATGTCCCTCTTGTGTGTGTTATAGTGCAGTTATAGGAGACTTCTTGACCCATTTAGACTTTGAACTCAGTGTTTTCTCTCTCAGACCATTCAGGAGGTTGCTGGCTATGTGCTCATTGCACTCAACACTGTGGAGAAGATCCCTTTGGAGAACCTGCAGATCATCAGAGGAAATGCTCTATATGAAAACACCTATGCCTTAGCCGTCCTGTCCAACTACGGGACGAACAAAACTGGGCTGAGGGAGCTGCCCATGCGGAACTTACAGGGTGAGAGGTGGGACATCAATGCAGAGAGGGATGCTGACAGCACTTGGCAAATCTGTCGCTTCTGTTAGTTCCAATTCAAAGACATATTTATTTATTAAACGCACATGTATTGGGTGTCAATTGTTTGAAAGATTCAGCAGTAGCAGTTACAAAGAGGATGGTAGGTAATGTGATGGAAAGTGAAGAGTCCATCCATGTGAAAAGCAGCTCTTCCACGGATGAAGAATATCCAGAGGTGGTAACAAATGGCATAGTTCTCAAGAACTCTGCCAGCCTTGGATGAGTGAGAGTTTGTGTAAGTAGGAAGTAAGCTTGGACATCAGGCAGAAAGGATATGTGACCATCTTCCTTAACCCTGTAGGGATGCATTCCAAGACTGTTCCAGATGCCTGACTATCAGATGATGCCCCAAATCATAATGTTACAGCAGTTTCCTTTATCTGCATGTCTATCATAGTTTGATACATCAATTAGATAATTGATACATTACCTTAACAATACAGCAATACATTAACAAGAGTAATGAAAAAAATAGAACAACTAGTGTTCTGCAATAAAACCTTGAGAGTATGGTCTCTTGCTGTCTGGACCTTAAGTAGTGAAACCTAGAAAAAGAAAAACCACCCATGGGAGCGGGGTAAAGTACATTAAACATTTTGCATGTTTGAAAAGGTAGGTTTCAAAGTCAGTGTTATATAGGGAAGGTCAGAGTGAATTTTTAAAAAGGAGAAAAGAAGCCGGGCATGGTAGCGTACACCATTAAGCTCAGCACTCAGGAGGCAGAGAGGCAGGCAGATCTCCATGTGATCAAGGCCAGCTTGGTCTCTACAGTGAGTTCCAGGCCAGCTGGGGCTATAAGAAGACCCTGTCCTCAAAAAAAAAAAAAAAAAGGATTAACAAAATAAATACTGGAAAACAATAAAAAAAATTAAAGAGGGCAAAAATAGGTTTGGGCTTTTTAAAAACATGGATAGCCAATAGTTCTTGGTGGAAGATGCTTGGTAAGCTTAAAATGAAAAAAAAAAAAAAAAAGGATTAACTAAATAAATACTGGAAATAGTAATTTTGCCTTACCCTGTGGTAGGCTTCTTAAATCAGTAACTTCACTCAGCACCATATCCTTCCTTCAAAACAACTGTTTTATACTGCTATTTTACAAATAAAAACATGGCAGTTAAAGCCCCTCTCAAAGTCCCATGTTACTGAGGAGAAAAACCAGCAGTGACGGAGAAAGGGGTGAGGTGAAAAGAAAGCACACAGAGCCAGAGCCAGGGAGCCGTGTTCAGAATGACTAGCTAGGATGTGGCCACACAGGCAAAGCTAGGAACATAGCCAGCCAGGCACTTCCCTCCCTAGTTCTCTGGTTTACAACCCTATAAACTGCCTTCAGAATCCCACCCACCACTTTAACTGCTCAGCGCACCCACGCATGTTTCTGAGTTTGGGCTAGCATTCATGGCTCTTGTACACACACTGCATGAAATGGCCTGTTAGGTACTTTCAACATGCCTCGTTCTGCCTGTCTTGCTTCACACATGTGAGGAAGCCAGGCAGCAGCCCGTGTGAGTCTGGCTCCCGGAGCCAGGCTGTCTGGGTTCCAGCCCCAGCTCCATTACTCATCAGCCAGACAACTCTGAAGATGTTCCTTCACCTGTGTCTTTCTCTGTATCTCACTGCCTTCACTTCAAAAATGTGGACATATTCTGGCTAATTTACTCCCTTTGTGTTGTCGGCAAAGTCAACCACATTACTACAGGCAAAGCATGCCACATGCAACAGCATTTTTAGTTCTTTGGTGGCGGGTGTGTATGTGTGTGCATGCTCTGTTCCCCTGAACTACATTCCTAGGATTATTTTTATAATTAATACAAAGTTATGGTTGTCTAGACCCAGATTATCTAATAGAGTACTATCAATGATCATCTTAGTGCCTAACACAAACTGAGCATTTATTAAATGTTGAAAATTAAAATAATACTTTCAACTGCCTACTGGTTGCCTTTCCCATTCAGTGTACTTCTTACAGTCACTGACTACCGGTATTCTAGAAGGCCCTGTCTTTGACTGCTGTCTCTATGCTCTTGGCCTCCTTGTTTCTTTTCCTGATTGTCACTGAAGCCCTGATGTTCCTGCCCTGCTTCTAGATCTGATCCTTTGCTGCTGTTGTCCACTTACACCTGGCTCCTGTGGTTTCTCTCCTTCCTTCTGCTGTCTGTCACCTCTGACTTTCCAGATGGAATACATTGCAGCTCTTCCTGAAATGCCTGCCATCCTCCTGCAGTTCTTCTGTCCCCTACCCTCTGTTGAGAAAACTGTCCACCTGTCTCAGCTCTGCAGGTTTGCCTTGGGTCTCTGTTTGCAGGAAGACTTCGGCACTGCTATCTTCTTAATTGCTCTGAAATAAGTTCCTAAGCACGTGGGAAATCTTGTCTCCCTGCACCCCCAACAGCCTTCACAAGCTTTCCAGGACAGTCCCTCCTTTCCCACGTCAGCACTCTGTGCACAGACAGGTTCTTCCATTCCCTGCCTGTAAGGTTCTGAAGTCCTTTATGTGTCTGTGGTTGGGTTTTTTCCCCCACATTTAAGTGGTAGTCTTTGGACCTTGGTGGTGTTTAATGGAGATAATGATTATTTATCAACTAGCCCAGTACTTGTTCTTGTCATGGTCTCCCATGGACATGAGTCTCTTTTGTGCATGTCAGCGCTCAGAGAGAAGCCAGCAAGTCAAATTCATCTTTGTAAACCCACAGCATCTGTGCATTTTATATGCACAAACCATTCGATCGATGTTTATGTTTAATGCTACTAAGGCAGCCCTGTCCCATTGTGCAGACTTGACTTTGTCCCATCCTTGACTTTTTAATGTCCTCTTGGTTCTTCTAACAGTTATGCAGCCTCATGTGGCTGTGCTTCACTGGTGCTTATTTGCATCTTCATCATGCATACAAATTCTGTTCTCCTATCATACCTGCACATTTTTCTCCAATGAAAATCCACCAGAGGCTCCTGGGAGTATGCCAGGTGACAGTCACCTTGCCCTGGCATTCAGAGTTTAAATATTCAAGATTGCCTCCTTGCCCCTCCTGCCCTCTTTTCTCCTCTGGTCATCCAATCATTCTGGTCTAGCTGATCTGGCTCCAGAACTGCAGCTCACTGTACTGTCTGTCCCTGGTGCCATAGTCACCGAATAGTCACTCTTTTTTCCCTCCTATACTTCTAAATTTCACAACTCAATTCAGGACAAATTCTAACTCTCCCATGTCACTACCATAAGCTGTATTTTCATCTGTCTCCAGCAGCACTTCTGAGGGCTTAGCATGGGGACTCATAGCTGCACACCAGTAACTTTCTGGCAGAACACACAAATTGTAAAGAAATACATGCACACATTAGGTGAATTCATAAGAGGCAAAGAGTTTGGTTACTGTGGTTCCATTCATGCAGAAATCCTGCTTGGTGCTGTGCGATTCAGCAACAACCCTATCCTCTGCAATGTGGAGACTATCCAGTGGAGGGACATCGTCAACATCGACTTTATGAGCAACATGTCAATGGACTTACAGAACCATCTGAGCAGCTGTAAGTGTTGGATTAACCTTCTGTTAGCTCTAGATCCTCTTATGGGTAGAGCTGGATAATGTTGGGGTAGGAGAAAAGGAATGTTCATGTTGGCTAATATTAAATAACCTAAACCTCAAATAAGTAGTAAACAATGATCTTCCCATTAGAAGAGATTTTATGCAAGGGAGGGATAAAAGTAAGTTTTTTATTGCTCAAGGCAACATGGATCACCCCCAGGGGAATGGAACTGTTGTGTGGCCACTGATCAGAGAGAACCTTAGCTTTGGGACAAACTGCAGTGGCACCCTTCCGTGCTGGCATGGGGCTATGTCCCATTCTGCCTCATGGGCATCCACCAAATTCTCATGTGCTTCTGCCTTGCTACTGAATCCCACAGTGGCACCCAGGTCATCCTGGTTCTCACACAGAACCATAGGGAGAAAGTGTGTCCATATTTTCCTAAATGCTTCTCACCTCATCCATACCCCATTCATCAGGCAGCTGTCTGCAAGTGAGGGGCTTGCAGAAGACTAGAATTAAGTGTGAGGCTGCAACCCCAGACCTTTGCCAACACTGTAGAAAACTCTGGAAAGTTACATTTTCACTCGCCAAGCTCCCCTTCCTGATAGTACTGGTCTTTCAAGTCTTTGAAATAAGAAGGGATCACCATTTCCTGGTCTGTGGTTCCCTGCAAATGTGTACTGCATGCATGTTTAGTTTTGGCTTCAAAGTGAGGCTGACAGGAATGCTCAAAATCAACTAACCCCTCCCTGCTTCTGTTTTACTTGTTTGTTTTATTTGTACTGATGCATTGATTAAATATTTGTGAAGTATTCATAAATTTTTCACCTTAAGCCATTTTTAGGCACGCGGTTTAGTGGCATTACATGTCCCTATTGCTGTACAAACGCCATCCATCTTCTGAACTTCCCATCTTAATCTGAAACTCATTAAACAGTAACTACCTGTTTTCCCTTCCTTCCTGCCCCTGATCAAGGCAAGCCCTGTTCTACTTTTTGTCTCTGTGAATTTGACTACTCTAGGAACCTCATTAGAGTATATTGTTTGTCCCTTAGTGCCTGGTTTATTTCATTTAGTAAACTGTCCTCAAGATTTATCCATATTACAGCCTATATCAGGAATTTTGCTCCTTTCAAAGATAGATAATATTCCCTCATATACTACATTTTGTTTTTTTGTTGATGAACACTTGGGTTGATGACAGTGAGCCTTTTTGTTTTTAAACATGTAAGTTTACCGGATACCCACTATGACACACTATAAGAAACTGAGCTCTTTCTTTCACAAAGCAAAAATTTTATTGCGAATGATACTTAGTATTAGTAGATTAGCATTAGTATTACTAATAAGGCTAGTATTTCTTAAGCTTAATGATGAACAATGGATGTGTTAAACTGTACATATTTAGAACAAAACTGTACATATTTAGAACTTCTAAAACTGTACATATTTAGAAGGTCTGTGGGGCTAATTGAGTTTGCCATAGATAAAATCAGGTAGCCCACAATGGCACACCTACACTCGCTGATACCATGGTGTATGAAAAATCCACAAAGAAAAGTTGGGGAAAAATAGTAATACAGTAACAAGATTCAAACGTTTCAACATTTGGATTACAGACCAATATGATACTGATTGAAGAATATCTTAGTCAACTTTACATTACTGTAATAAAATGCCCAAAGCAATCAACCTTTAAAGAAGGAAGGTTTATTTGGAATCACAGTTTTGGAGTTATAGTTCAAAGTTAGGTGGCTCTGTAGTTTCTGGGCCAGGGCTGGTGCAGTGCATCATGACAGCACAAGGTAAGGAAGTGTGCTCACCTCATGACTCCTAGGGTGAAGGAAAAAGGACAGGAGGGACAGGGGTTCCAATATTTCTTCAAGGATATTCCTTCCAATGACTGAACTTCCAACAATCCCATCAGATTTTTTTTAATATTCTATTATTTTTACTTTATGTGTATGTGTGCATTCCCTACATGCATTGCATCCATGTCATGTAATACCCACAGAAGACATCAGATTCTTGGGAACTGGAATTACAGATGGTTTTTAGCCACCATTTGGGTGCTGGGATTTGAACCCAGGTCCTCTGCTAGAGTACCCAGTGCTTTTAATCCTCGAACTGTCTACTCCCACCCCCATTTTTAAATATATTTTTATTTATTCTTTGAGAAGTTCATATATGTATACAATGTGTTTTGGTTGTATTCACCCCCTCCTACCCACCCTTCAACCCCTCCAGCTCTCCTCCACCCCATCACCTCCTCCCATCTTTGTATATATATGTCTATTTATGACTCTCACAAGTACAATTAGTGCTGCCTATGTATGAATGGGTATGGGGCCAAGCACTAGAGCATGGTCAACCTCCCAGGAATCACATCCTTGAAGAAAAATGATTCTCCCTCCTCCAACAGCTATAACTCCAATACCTCCTCAACTAGGAGTAGAGACTCATGGGCCCTTCCCTCATCCAGGCTAGAATATTGACCGGCTTGATCTTGTGCAGGTCTTGGGCAGCAATCACAGCTGCTGTGAGTTCATGAGTGCAATAGTCCTGGTATGTCCAGAAGACACTGTTTTGAAGCTGTCCTCTCTGAGCTCTAGCTCTTATCATCTTTCTACCTGTTCCCTGAGCCATGGAGGGAGGGCTGTGATGTACATGTGCCATTTAGGGTTAATCACTCCACAGACATTTATTCTCTGCACTTTGATCAGTTGTATGTCTCTGAATTACCCTAGTCTACTACAAAAAAGAAGCTTCTCTGATGAGGACTGAGATCTGCATTAATCTATGGGTATAGATGTAGTTATTTTGAAGACAATTTGATATTATGTCCATTTATCAAAATAATAATAGTAGGTTCTCCTAGAAGTTCCCCAGCCAGGGATTCTTAACCAGATTTGCAGGGCTAGGTATGACTTTCCTCCCATGGAGTGGGTCTTGGATCCAAACAGAAAGTGGTTAGTTGCCTCCAGAACATTCATGACACTGTACACCCATGGGTATATCTTGCCAGGCTGGTTATTAGTCCCACCTCATAGTTCTCATCACCTCTTGATAATAACATGATGAGGACAAAGCCTTTAAACACGGGCCTTAGGGAGCCACTATATATCCAAACTGCAACACTAGTCATAAACCTTAACTGAATCAAAATTCCATAAATGATATTTCAAGTAAGAACTGATTCAATAAATTGTTCTGCAATTATAATTATTAAGGGAAAAATATTCAAAGCACCAGAGCTGTAACAGATGTTTTGAAAACAGACTAACGATATGAGGCTATTCATATTGGGATATGTCTATTTGACCTCTGGTCTTCCCTGTCTCATACCTTCCACTCTCCTCCCTTGGCCAGTGTGTGGCAGACATGGATTCCTTTTGAGAAGTTCTCATGCCATCTTTATCAACAATGAAAACAGTCTCATGAGACTATTTTAAATGTTACATGGGTGAGACAGCAGAGAGTCAGAAGAATGGCCAGGGCACCCCAGCCTTATACGATTGTTGATAATCTGAGGTTAGGAGTGGACTTACATGAAAAGAAATTAAACAAATTCATCAGCTACTCTATACCACAATAAAAATTCCAAGTATATATTAAGTATATGTAATAAAATAATAAATATATGTTTAAGTCCTAGAAGGAAACATAAAGATTTATAATACCAAGTTGAAGAAAAGTCAAACTCAGATGTCATTAAAGAAGCTATGTGAAAAAAAAAAGTTATGTTATATGATATCTGGTTGCCATGAAGAGAGCTGTATAACTAGGTAAAGCACTCTCCAAAAGCCTACCTAAAATGTTAAATCCCCAGCACTACAAAAAGCAAAGGCAGCAAAACTAAATCTGCTCCACTGCTGATTTCAACAAATTTGGTGGCAAACACCTTCATAATTCTCCATTCTATTAATGACAATTAACCTAAATTGTAGATAACCAACAAAGTAATACACAGTATACCACTTGGCTTGGAGGACAGGGTGCTTATTTGTCAGCTGTGACTTTACACCCATAAACACCTGGTGGCAACTGGCCCACATAGTCAGTCCAGACTGAACGTAGCAAAGTGGTAATGAGTATACGCAATCAGTCTAGAGAAGTCAAAGCAGGTGGGACCTCAGGGACCTGGAGTTCATTTAAATTTGTCAGTTTTGTGCCCACGACAAGTCAATAAATACTCTCTCCCTCAGTTTCCACAGCTATAAATGCAAATAAAAACAATTCATGGCTCCACATTTTTTTGTGTTACAGGAGTCTGTAAGCTATCCTACAAACCAGCCTCCCTGACTATGAATGAGAAGTTTTCAAGCTGTTCCTCATTTCCAGAACATTATCTAGGACCTGAGGAAAGGTGTCATCAGTCTTGTCTCACTTGTTCACTTGTATTGAGATAAAATTTTAACTACTAGATTTATATTTCAGGCCAAAAATGTGACCCAGGCTGTCCCAATGGAAGCTGTTGGGGTGCAGGAGAGGAAAACTGCCAGAAACGTAAGTCACTGAACAGTCGTGTTCCTGTGAGACCCACACCCCTGTGAGCAGAGTCCAGACATGGTGTGACCCCTCTTGTCCTAGACAAGTCCAAGAACTTGAGAAAGAGCCGGTGTTAGCAGCATCATGAGTGCCATTCTTGCAAGTCTCGCTGCATGCAGCAACAAATACTATTCAGGACACTTCATCATGTCATAAAATACCTGAAAGCCAGTCTGCCATGCTCCAGTCATGTCTTGTAGAGAATATGCATAGCTCCTTACCCTGAACATGTCCTTGCTGACCTGCATCACCTTCCTCTTCCTCTTTTACCTCCTCTTTGCCTGGTACTAAGCTACAGAAGTTTGACAGGATTTCTCCAGGGAGTTCCTGTGTGAATCCTACTTTAAGAGTTTCATTTACCTCAGTGTGGTCACTGGCTCACTCAGTGGCTGAGAAACCTGGGAACATGTCAACTTAGACTGATAATTACTATCTAACATCTAACATCTACTTATTCGAAAGATCTCAAACTTTGGACTTGATCTAATCAGCTCTCAGAACTGATTTGAAATAAAGGAGAAAAAGATACCAGGGAGAAGTTGTGATTGAGTTTGAAATAATGTGAACGCCCAGAAGCTTGTGCCAGAATTACTAAACCCACCCATTTTCCTCTACCGTGTGCAGGAAGCCCTCATCTTCCGTGTCCTTAGAAGAGCTACCTCCTAGATCCAGCTCATGGGTGATCTTTCTTTTTCAGTGACCAAAATCATCTGTGCCCAGCAGTGTTCCCGGCGCTGCCGTGGCAAGTCTCCCAGTGACTGCTGTCACAACCAGTGTGCCGCTGGCTGCACAGGGCCCCGAGAGAGCGACTGCCTGGTGAGACTCTGGTTACTCGGGAGTCAGGCTGCAGAGCTCTGCATCTGCTCCCACCTGACTGTAACAGGGAGCTTTCTGTGTGGTACATTTGTCAGTTTGGTAGGAGCAGATAGTGCCTGTGTCTGTTATCCACTTAATCTGTGACCTTGAACAAATTACAGGAGCTGTCTGTGCCTTCGTTCCCTCACCTGACAGTGATGGTTAATAAAGTCTCTACTGTTAGGTGGTACAAGTGGCGTGGTCCATGTGGTTTTTATCACCAAATCCTGGGAGCTGAATGAACACTAATACTAAATAAATGTGATTGTTGTCAATAGTGGTAGCATTATGCTATTTATTGTTTCCCCTAATTCTGTTGTGAATGTAAAGAGCTGACACTGTAAGATCCCCTCAAACCCATCCACCCCTATACAGACCTTTAATGGTATGACATTGGGATCTTCTGACCCTCATCTCTCTGATTTTCCCACCACATTTCTGGTGCCTCTTGAGCTTTGTCCCCAACCCCTGGGGGTCTTTTCTGCCACTGTAGAAGCTCTCACAAAAGGCTTGTTGCTCCATTGTGAAGTCCTGGAACTACCAAAGCTGGTGGCTGGGATTCCTGGGGTTTGCACCAAGTGAGGCAAAACCCTGTCAGCTGCAGAGAAGGAAGGCCGCCCTAAGGTGCATTCTATGCATTCTGTAGTTTCTGGGAACAGAAGAGTCTTGCCTTCCAGAAATTGGACCTGGCCCCAGGATTTTTCACTTGATTTGTCTGGGCTGATTCTAATGAGAATCCCAAGGAAATAACTGTATGTGGAGTTCTTAGGAAGAGCCAATGCTGCAGGCTGCGTGGGCCCCGAGAGAGTCTGGCCCTTCCTGTAGGGAATCCTTCCTGTCATGGTTTGATACAGTTTGACAATAACTTCTTAAATGTATTCTCAAGTGCTGTTCATAAGAGAAACATGTTTTAAACTGGGCTTAAAAATAATGCCACTCCATAGTTACCAATAGCATGTTTGGATTCCTTTGTCACCTGTAAATCAATAGAGATTTATTTTCTCTAACCATAAACCATAAGCTGTGGCAGCTTGGTCAGTATACGTAAGAACAGTACTTAGTACTTACAGTTGAACACTTGAGCACTGGGAACCTCATAATGAATTTGTTTAGCCTGAAACCCAAATGGCCCTGTGCTTCATTCATTTAGATGCCACATCCTTGACGAGGTATGTTGTCCCTCCTATGACAGGTTTGCCACAAGTTCCGGGATGAGGCCACATGCAAGGATACCTGCCCACCGCTCATGCTGTACAACCCCACCACATACCAGATGGATGTCAACCCTGAGGGGAAGTACAGCTTTGGTGCCACCTGTGTGAAGACATGCCCCCGTGAGTTGCCGTCGCGGGAATGCCGCTGGCTCTCCAGTCATCTGTGACCTCTTTGTCTTCTGCTGTAGTCTTGAGCCCCTTGTCTTAGGCAGTTGGGAGTTGCTGTGCTTGCCTTGTTTAGGTTACTTTGTGTCCAACCAGGTAAGGAGCCAGCTTCCTTCTGGGGAACAGTAGACAGAGACAGCCTGAGCCTAATGCAGGCCTCCACTCTTCAACAGGAGTCATCATCTGTGTTAACCATCATCGCCGGTAGCCAGACTGCATCAAAGAAAAGACGACTATTCACCTCAAGTCTGAGGGTCAACTGTAATAACTCAGGGCATTCAGTATCTGAGTAGCACAAAATCGTGACCGTCTGGGCCATTTCATTGTTTGACTCTTCTACGATGCTAGTGCTTTACCAACCTAAATTAGAAAGGGTATCAGGTCTACCTTCTTGAGTGTGCCTCTTAGGAGGAGTATTGCAGAAGTTTTCTTTCTTTTCATTTTACTGGTTTGGGTTATGGTTTTGTTTACTTATATTTGTATCCTACTCATGCCTATAGGGAAATGGCAACATGGATTATTCTCAAATAGAGAAAGTAAAACAAGGCATAATGAGCCTTAGAAACTAAGCTTGATTTCCATAAGGGAAATAAAAATGTAAAAGAACCACTCTCAGGGGGAGATTTTTCCTGCTAGATGTATGTGCATGAAAGTCTATTCAAAAAAATACACAAATAGAATAACAGGCCACTATAAGATAAATAGCAAACCAAGACGAAGCAAAGATTTCCACAATTACAGCATAGGTAGGGTCTTTGCGTGAGGACTTAATAGAGTTTTAAAAGCCACAGTTCACACTCAAAGCCTAAGACAACAAAAGCACACAATTTGCGGGTGTACTGCCTATGCCCAGTAAATATCAAAGCACAGAGCTTCTAAAACATGGTATGAACACAAATATTACCCCAGACTTAACCGTGAGGGAAGTGAAGAGAAGGGATGGGGTACCTCTCTGAGATGCAGAACTGGCTGGTCTTGTCATTGTCCCACCAAGGAACATACAGCACATGGGAAAGGACCATGAAGGGCAAAGCTGGTGTCAAACAGAATGAAATGTAGTTATCTCGGTGGGTCAGTGATCTGTTTAAGCTCTGATGTGTTTAATAAGTATCCAGGCTTTACCTGTAAGTCCCAAAGACAGACCTGACCAAAAACAGGAAAAACCCTGATATTTAAAGAGGTGCTTTCATGGGTGATGTTTTTCCCCTCCCATAGCTATTTCACACCTGTGATGAAAAACCAGCTTGTCTCCACATTACTGTCCTGAAAGCTATTAAACTTGAGATTGATTACTTTTCTATTTGAAACCTGGTAATGCATGTCCTCAAAGTCAAGCAAATTATCAGGGACCCTTTTCAGCAGCACATGTAGAAGAGAGTATGAGGATGTTTGTGGAAGGCCAGGAGCCCCTGCTGTGGCCCTCACCACCCTCCTTTCATTGCCTCCTCCTCAGGAAACTACGTGGTGACAGATCATGGTTCATGTGTCCGCGCCTGCGGTCCTGATAACTTTGAAGTGGAAGAAGACGGTGTTCGCAAGTGTAAAAAATGTGATGGGCCCTGTCGCAAAGGTAAGGAGCCTGCAGGTGCAGATAAGGCTTTTTTCTTGACCCTTAGGCTGGAATCATATCCATTTCTAAATGAATATATCCTACTCCTTTAATTTAAAAAAAAATGTATATTGTTTCTTTAAAATAAAAGATATACCCACAAAATCAAGTTACAAAGCTAGAGGTCGGGGAGTTCACTAGGTAGAACCAGTTACAGAGGTGCCACCTGCAGCCCAGGTGGGTGAGCTGGCCTGGACTAAAAGGGGAGGACCAATGTCCTGAAGAGCAGCTAGACTTGGCCCAAGTGGTAAACAAAAGGAAGAATTCAAGGCTCAGAGAGGTCTGTGAGGTCTATCACTTCAGTAGTTGTAATCCCAAAGTCTGCCAAGGGTGCTGGCAAGTAAGAGCTCTCCTCAGTGTCAGTGGGATGAACGGGAGCAGGGGTTCTTGCTTCTGCTTGTGGAGACCCAGTATTATTAATTCAACAAATGTGAGTAAAACAGACATCTCTCTTAACAGTTTGCAATGGCATAGGCATTGGTGAATTTAAAGACACACTCTCCATAAATGCTACCAATATCAAACACTTCAAAAACTGCACTGCCATCAGTGGAGATCTCCACATCCTGCCGGTGGCATTTAAGGGGTAAGTAACAGTTGAATTACCTGAGCAGAGAACAACAACAACAAAAAGTTTTGTTTTTAATGGATAATGATCAATAATCATTTTCTGTGTTTTCCAGGGACTCCTTCACACACACTCCTCCTCTAGACCCAAAGGAACTGAATATCCTAAAAACCGTAAAGGAAATAACAGGTTTGTGCTAGGAAATCCAGAAGCATAAGTGGAAAATTAAATTTCATAGACATTTTTCCTTCTCCCTTGCTATAAGAATTTGTATTTGAAATTCCATTAGCCCATTGATGATTAATTCTTTGAAACTTAAAAGAAATGCAGTTTCCCTGCTTTCAAGTGGAAAGTGTGACTGGAACCATGCAGGATTGGTGTGGACACATGCAGTCTTCCTTCCCGGCTCAGACTAGCCATCTCCATAGCCCCATACTTAAGGGGGGAAGAGGAAGGGAAGGGAAGGATAAGTTGAGAAGCAGCCGGCAGTGGTTCTTGGTTTCACAAACTAGATTTCAAACCTGTTTGTCCACTGGCAGATCTTGGACCCATGACTGACACCCGTACTCCATGTCCTTTGTCTCTAATAAGGGGATGATTAGATATGCACAAGGTTGATTTGAGGACTGGAGTTGATCACTGACAACTTGAAAATAGAGCAGGAACCAGTTTGGCTTCTGACATGAAGCCCCTCAAAGATACCGAACCTGAGCACATGGTTAGCCTGTTGGGTATACAAACTGGGGTTGTAGTTCCATGGAGAAGGAAAGATGCCCATTTTGGGAAGTATCACCTGGGCTTGTGGCTATAATCTGCATATCCATCCTCAGGGAAGAGGATGAGAAGAATCCACTGCCACTGTCCATATGGCAGGCAGTCTCATAGGGATTCTAGAACAATATTGCATACAACCAAAAGAATTTCCAGTGCCCTGTGTCTGAGCCTTCTTTCTGCCTTCTAGGGTTTTTGCTGATTCAGGCTTGGCCTGAAAACTGGACTGACCTTCATGCTTTTGAGAACCTAGAAATTATACGTGGCAGGACAAAGCAACAGTAAGTGGACCATGGCCAAAGTTAGGTAAATTAGTGTTTGCCTTTTTATTTTGAAGTTGGACTTAAAAGAGAGGTACAGAAATAGTATAGAATTTCTATGGATCCTTCACCTGCTTCCCCTAATGTGCACATCTTACATGAGTAGAAAAAAGGATCGAGGTAATAGCGTTGACAGTGTAAAATGCTGTTAGCTCAACCAGGTGCTTTATTCTGAGTTCACCAGGCTTTCCTTGAATGTGTTTATTCTTTCTCTGTCCACTGCAGAATTTAATGTTGCATTCAGATCTAATGTCTTCTTAATACCCTCCAATCTGTCCTGGATCCTGTGTCTTTCCTAATCATTTATTGTGTTGATACTGTGGAAAAGTATGTTCAGGAGTTTTGTAGAATGTCTGTCCATTTGTATTTGACTATTATTTCCTCATGATGTAGTTGAGGTTATCCACACCAGGGGACGCAAGTAACATTTTAACACTAAATGATTTGGAGGAGCTAGAATGACCACTCTTCCAGCTATAACAGTGAAATATGTATATGCTTGTGCAGAGAGAGAGAGAGAGAGAGAGAGAGAGAGAGAGAGAGAGAGAGAGTCTTAATAGAGTAAGAGAAATCATAAGTTTTGTGGTGAGGAAGAGAAATTTGGAAATCTTTAGACCAAACCTGTCTTGGAAACTTTTAATTATGAAAACTACTTTAGATAATTTACCCAGTAAGACTACATAATATCATGAAATGTTTAAAAAGTCAAAGTACCATACACACAAAATACACACTGCTGTCCAAAAGCTTTGTTAGCCAAATACTTTTGATGTCAAACATGTAGTTGTTCTTGCTTCCTGAATTTGCTCTGAAATTCTCAGGAATGTTGTCTTTTCCTGGCGCTCACACAGAAATGAGATTTAGAGCAGTGCTTCAGAGTGGCTGCTTTGTAGACGTCTGCTTAGAGATTTAAGCAAGGTTAAATACCATTTACTTTTCCACTCAGTAAAAAGTCCCCTAATATCAGCCTGTTGCTGTGGGGTGACCACTAGTTCCTGATGTGAGTCACCGAAAACTGGAACTTGACCTGCAAGGAAGACCCCAGCCAGACCCCTGACTCCTTGGCGTCTCTGGGCATACTCTAGGGGAGAATTCCCCACAGTGGTGGTTGTAGGTCTCCTGTCTAGGACTCCTCACTTATCCTGAAACAGGTTGTGGGGAGAGAAAGGAGAAGAATTACCAGGAAGAAGGAACTGCCAAGTAACACTTTAAACCTTTGGCATTCGACTCCTTAGTTGTCAGTCTCTTCAGTTTGTCCTGTCTTAACTGCCTGTTCCCTATGCTGGTGTCAAAGGCACTTCCTACAGATGCAGATCACTTCCGTATGATTTTCTATCAATTGCAAATAACACAAGCTCCTCCACCAAGGACATAGATCCATGCTCTGTCCTCATCCCCCAGCCCCAGGTCTACCTCCTAGCCCTTCCTATCTACAGACACCCTGCACTATCCTGCTTCTCTAGGAGCTTTGGGACTTTCCTTCATCTACTTTAAGTTACTGGAGTAACTTTCAAATCATCCAATGAGTATAATAAATTCAGTACCTTGTAGATTCTTACTTAGCCCATCATTGAGGGGGAAGAAACTTTCATGGGCTCTACTCTCCAGGTCTCAGTTATGAGACACCATGGCTTGTACAAAGCCACCCTTCCAAGCCATTTCTCCAAAACCTCCCTAAGTGCCCACCCCTGGCTGACCTTGTGCTCACTGAGGTTGCATCCCTCCCTCCAGATTCAAAGAATCGGCACGAGTGCTTGTATCACCTGTAGACAGAGGTTCCTCAAGTAAAGGAGACACATATTAGACATACATAAAATTTGGCAAATGGTATCACAAATGCTCCTTCAATTAGTATATATTAGTAATGTGGTAGATGAGTAGGTGGGTAGATGGATAGACAGACAAATTCACAACACTTAAAATATATTTCAGTGTTGCAGATAACCAAAAAAACCATGTTCTCTATTTTCAGGCAAAGTATAAATGTAGTAAACAAAATGATAGGAATATATTAATTCGGTGCTCCAGTTTACCTCTGAGGTTAAAGATGTTAAATGGATAAGAAACTGACTTTTCCTTGAAGGAACGTAAACATTTACAGTTTCCAAAAGTTGTGATACATACCTCTCACAGGGTAATTTACAGTTGTTGGAACACAGTTTGTAGGAAATCAAAGTGGCCCAGAAAAACAAACTGTTTTGGGTGGCATGCTGTTTTCAATTTACATACAATGTAATTTTTCTTCTTCTCCATTTAGTGGTCAGTTTTCTCTTGCGGTTGTCGGCCTGAACATAACATCATTGGGATTGCGTTCCCTTAAGGAAATAAGTGATGGTGATGTGATAATTTCAACAAACCAAAATTTGTGTTATGCAAATACAATAAACTGGAAAAAACTATTTGGGACTTCCAGTCAGAAAACCAAAATTCAATACAACAGAGCTGAAAATGACTGCAGTAAGTAATTGGTTTTTGTTCAGTTATGCAGGTAGTTTCTGTAGGTCATTTCCTTTTAGAAGGAATACTGAAGGGATCGTTCCCAAACATTTGAGTTGCTTTTTTCCTTCCTTCAATAAATTAAAGTCTGCAGATTCATAATTGTAGTTATCATCAGTACTGATTCCAGATAGCCAGGTATGGTATTGCACAGCTTTAATCCCAGATTTGGGAGGCAGAGGCAGATGATTCTCTGTGAGATCAAGGACAGCCTGGTCTTTGTAGCCAGTCTAGACCAGCTGGGGCTGTAGGAAGACTCTACACCCCCCGCCCCAATAAAAGGAATCAACTCCAGATCATTCTCATTTTCTTGGGTGAATTTTCCCTGTGCCGTTGACACATTTATACTTTTGAGCACTTTGCCCTTTGTCCCCAGCTGGCAGTGCTGTCTTGAAAAACTGTGGGTTCTTTAGGAGTTGGAGCCTTGCTAAGGGAAGTAGGTGTTGGGTGCCCACTTCCTGTCTCCTCTCTGCTTCCTGACTGTGAACGCAGTGGGACCAGATGCTTCACATTCCTACTGCTGTACCTTCCCTGCTAGCATTGATCATATTCCTCATTGAATTGTGAGCCAAAATAAATCTTTCTTCCTTTAAGTTGCTTCTCATCAGGAATTTGGTCACGGTAATGAGGAAAGTAGTACAGAAAATTGGTATCGAGCAATGGAGCTGCTGCTTGGATGGATCTGACCATGTGGTTTTTAGACGTAGGGAGCTGGTTTGCAGGAGGAATGTGAAAGAGTTAGGAACTTTGGGCTACAAAAGCCCTAGAATGCCATAAGCATTGCTTATCAGGCTGTCCTCCTGAGAGTTTGGAAGACCAAGATGTTGAGAGAAATGTAGACAGTGAAAATCTGGCTCATAAGATTTCAGAGGGAAACAAGGACTCTATTGGAAACTCAGAGGCCATTCGTGACATATTCTGGAAAGGACTCTAGCTGCGTTCTGCCTGTGTCCTGAGAAATTGGATGATGCTGAATGCAAAAGTAATGACTCATTTGCTTGGTGAATGAAAAATCTCAAGACAGGGTAGCATCCATGCCGTTTCATGGTTACTGCTCACTGTTCTTGTCCATGTCTACAGTAAGAGAGAGCAAAAAGTGGAGCAGAAAGATGAAAAATATGCTGCTTGATGGGGAAAGAAGAGAATTTAAAGTTGCAAATAAGGCAGATGTTGATAAAGCATCTGTAATTGTTAAAGATGTTAGCACCTTTAAAGAGAAACCTTTTAGCTGAGTACAGTGGTATATGCCTTTAATCCCAGCACTTGGGAGGCAGAAGCAGTTGGATTTCTGTGAGATGGAGACCAACCTTGTCTACACAATGAGTTCCAGCCCAACTGTGGCTACAGAGAGAACTTGTCTCAAAACAACAACAAAAGAGAACCCTTTTTCTCTGTACTGAGGCAATAGTAAAAGTGCTCCGAGGGAAAGGCCTCATCTATCAAGGCTTCATCTTGTGAAAATGTAAATTTATTTGAAAGAAGGGAGCCTAAAGTGAGAATGCTGCTGAAGAAATTGCTTGCTCAAGTAGGCCATATACGCCTACTGCTGGCAGCAGAACCTGGCAGCATCATCCAGATGGAACTGGTGCTGTAGGCATAAAAAACATAGGAGTGGGGCATGGACGCTTGTGCCAGGAGTCACAGAAAACCACTGAAACTAGGCAGTGTGCAGCATAGTTGGAGTCTCTGAAAGGATGCCTGGAGAGGCCACTGTGGGAAGCTGTAAAGGTAAGGCCTAAGTCGCAATGGAGACTCCAGGATTTCAGTGTTGTCAGCACATGGGATGTCTGCTAAAGAAAGCTGCAGGAATGGAGTGTAACAGGCCCAGAGAGAGCTTTTGTGTGTGCAGGGGGCAGGGCTGAAAGGGTGGAACTACCCAAGTTCTTGAGAGTCCAGATAATTCCATCATGAACCCCAGATGGTAGAAATGGAGCTGCAGTATTTGGTGTTTTCCCTGCTGGGTCTCAATCTTGCTTTGGTTGAGTCTTGCTTTGCTTTACCCCCATTCCACTTTTTTAGAGTAGGAATGTTTACTATGGGTCAGTGTATGTTGGAAGTACATAAATTTTTTATTATTCTTGCTTTGAGTCTCAGAATGGACTTGAGACTTTTGAACAGTGTTGAGACTATTAGTCTTAGCAGGTACCAGTGAGATGGTTCAGTGGGAAAGGGCACTTGCTGCCTGACAACTTGAATTCAATTCCTGGGACTCACGTCATAGAAAGAAAGCACTAACTCTGGCAAGTTCTACTTTGACCTCACATACACACTGTGACATGTGTATATACCCTCTTCTTCTACACAAATGGAATTTTTAAGAAGACTTATAAAGTTGGAATGAACACACTTTCATTACAAGATGTCCATAACTCTATGTGGGCCAGAGGTAGAATGTTGTAGTCTGAACATGAAATATCCCCAGTAGGTTCCTGTGTTTGAACACTTGACCTCATGCTTCTGCCACCATGCCTTCCCTGCTCTGATTTTAAAGCTCTAAGTTGGTTTTGGAAACTGGCAAATGCCCCTGGTCTTATGGTAGACACTGGCAGAATTCATACTGACTTCTAGTGCTGCTGTGACTCTCCTGGGCCTGGACAACTTAGCTAGTTTACTTATTACTCTCTTTAGGCTTTGGCTTCCTCATTCATAAATGGTAATGACAATGATTCCAGTACCATAGTGCTACTGAAAGACTGACATGAAATCTTACATGTGAAGTTCTGGGCTTGGTGCCTACCACACAGCAAGGAGCAACAACCTCCTTTGTCGTTCCTGTTGACTGTGGCTTTAATCATGAAAATAATCCCAGAGACAGGTCCAGGTTGCCCTGAGCTCCACAGAGAAGAGTAACTTTGGTGCTACACTCACTCAGACCCCTCCACGTGCCTATGAAGAGCACACAGCCTATCACAAGAGTATCACCTCTTCTGATCCCTCCTGTTCTTGTTCTATAACTGACTCTTTGACTCACTGTGTCTTCTCAGAGGCTACAGGCCACGTCTGTAATCCTTTATGTTCCCTGGAAGGCTGCTGGGGCCCTGAGCCCAGGGACTGTGTCTCCTGCCAGAACGTCAGCCGGGGCAGGGAATGCGTGGAGAAGTGCAACATCCTGGATGGGTGAGATACTGTTCTTTGTTTTGAGAAGTCAAAGTGCTGTTTTTATAGCTTTAAAGTTATTCCAGTTAATTCTTTTCCTTTTTCTATTTTTCTTGCTACTATCTTTGATTTGTTTGCATGTATGTTTGGTTTTTGGCAAATTGTTCATCAGAAAAAAGAAGTAAATTTTTCATTATTCTTTACTCTATCCCAATAATTTACCAAATTTCTTTCCCTAGAAATACCTTAAGCTTTCAGTTTACGTGACAACATTCTCAAGATAGAACAGATGCAGGGGTTGAAAGAGTCAAAGTACATGGTCCCTAGACCTTTTCTTTCTAGTCCACTGTTCCTGCTATGTTAAAACCTATTAATACAAAGTATTTCCTGGTTAATATTTGTTTTATGTATGCCTGGAATGCACTGATAATTGAATAACACAAATAATTTTCAATATATCCAAGGATGAAAAAGTAATTCGTGTATTTGTTTAGCTGAGTATTTTTTAATCTCATTTTTATGTGTATGAGTGTATTGCCTGCATGTATGTAGGTGCACCCATGTTGTGTAATGCCCTCAGAGGTCAGAAGGCATTGGATCCCCTGGAACTGGCTGTTAGCCACCATGTGAATGTTGGGAATCAAACCTGGGTCTTCTGCAAGAGCATTCAGTGCTCTTAACCACTGAGTCATCTCTGCAGCCCCTTAGCTGAGTTTTAATCAATAAAAAGTACAATCTATGAATACACTGAGAATTTCAAAATTGGTGTTTTTTAATACTGATAACGATTAAAATAAATTACTTGGAAAATTAATTGAAGGACAGAGAGAACATATCTTTATTTTCTAATGTAAAGAAAAAATGGAAATTTTGTGATGGGGAAGAGTTTCAGGTAGTGCTGGGAAATCCCCCATCTTATTTCAGCAGCAGAGGATGGGCCACAGTTTGTATATGGAAATATTCCAGAACAAAATGGGAAGATAATGGGCAGGCTTAGAATAATGGGCATAACTTCTGTCTCAGCCTCCAGTGGGGAGTACAGTGCAGTCTCTCCAGTTACAGACAGACACACATACCTTTCAGTTTCCAAGTCCTTAAGAGACACGGTGACAAAATGACTGTGTTAGGCCCATGTCTCCATTAGTTGGAAGAAGCCCAGTGTCCTGTAATACCTGCTCACTTTTCAAAATGGAGCCCTTTAGAATGGGGTTATACAGAGATGAAGTGCAGAAAACATCATGTGGAGCTTTTTATTTCCAGTCAGTTGGCTGGGATCTTTTTGTTCTACCTATACAGAAATGACGGAAAGGCAAGGAGAACCCCCTTAAGTGCTGTTTTGTGGCAACTTTTATACACCACAAAGTTTGATAGCAGTGAGTAGTGGCAACAGGCAGGTGGAAGTAGGAGCAGGAAGCACCCTCTACTGTTATAACTCCCAAACATGGCTTGATTATTGAGGTCTTTAGCTCTATAAATATTACAGTTCTTTTTTCTAACAGTTTAGTTTTTTATTTTTAATTGAGCTTTTGATTTTTTAATTGAGCTTTTGTAATTTCATACAACATTTCTTAATCAAATTTAGACCACTCCTCCATCCATGCCTCCCCATCCCCCCACCAGACCTCATATATTCCACCATACATGTTAAGTCCTATCCAGTCAAACATTTGTGCCCAGATGTCCTTCATTGTAAATTCATCCACTGGAGTCTAGTCAGCCCATCTAGAGATCGAATGTAAGGCATATTCTCCCTCCCCCACTAACAATCAGTCTCCAATAGTTCTCAGTCTAGTGCCGCCCACCACCCATTTCTCTCCTCCCGTCTGGGCCCTTGATTAATTGAGTTGGCATGGGTCCTGTGCTCTATGCCACCATTGCCACAACTTCACATGTGCAAGCTTCCAGTGGCCTGAAAGCCTCTCCTTCCCTGTGTTCATCAACCAGCTCTGGCTCTTACAAAATTTCTGCCCCCTCTTCCAGAATGGTCCATGATCATGGGTGGGTGGGGTTCCATATAGGAGTCCTATTCAAGGACATACACTCTGTAGTATCTTCTTCTTTAAAACTTGGCCAGTTGTGGCCTTCTTGTGCATCACATTCTGTTGTATAAGGAAGTTTTACTGATGAGAGATGAGGGGTGCATTAGTTTTCTCTCTACCCCTTGTTCCACTATGTTCCATAAGCCTTAGTTGTAGAGATTCAACTGTAGATTTGCCACCTAGTACTGGCATCTCTCAGACGTCTATGTCTGATCAGTTGTGCAATTCTGCAGTAGCCTCCATCTGTTGCAAAAAGAAGCTCGATGAGTGGTGTACAGAATGCTTGTCTGTAAATATAAGGATCAATATTTAGCATATAGTAAGAAATTTCATTTGTATAGGGATATGAAAGAGACAGGGTTTTTTCTAGGATCTGTGTCCTCTCCTGCCATGTATATTTGCTTGCGTTTACAGTGCTACCCATGAGTTCACTCCCATTGAGAAGGCTTTAAGTCCAATTAGATAGCTGTTGATTGCCCCCCAAATAATAGTGTCATTGCTGCACCAATAGAGGTAGTTTACTGTTCTGATCATTAGGTTATTAGGTTTTAGGGCTGGGTTGGACCATTGATTGTGTTTCCCCCTTGGCAGTTTGCATATCATCATCTAGCACATGATAGCCAAACTTTGGTTAGAAGGCTTCCAGGTCAGTTCCTGCTCCTTTGCTTCAAGTCCTATATCTGAAGTATGTCCTGTCTTCAGAAGTAGGGTCTTATCTACTAGATCTGGGAGATAACCAAGAGGTTTGGCAATAGCCTGTTATTTGGGAGTCTCCTGGACTACCATCAACAACCACTCAAAGGATGGTTGGTTCTTTCTGGCACTGTGTTCTTTGCCAAGCAGCTCCCAGGTATACATATGCACTAACGTTTGGACACTGTATGCTCATTTCTCATGGGGTTTTGAGGATATCACATTTCCCTCTGGAAAACAGCCCCTCATGATTCATTCAACTCTACTCTTTTTCCTCCCATCCAGGCTCCCTCTTTCCTCTCAAGTCCCAGTGCTCCCATAGCCCTACTCTTCCCCCCCAAATAATACCCACCTCCCACCATCCCCCCTCCTAGCTTCACTCCCCCCACACACACTGTGTCCCCCATGCATGCCTCTCCTCCCTGCCAAACAATCCCACTCTCCCCATCTCCCCCTGGTAACATCTGTTCCCTATTATCCCCCTTTCAGGATAACTCCGTATCCTTTTTTCCCCTGGATTCTGGTGTTACATCAGAATTTATATGCTCACATAGAAGGGATTAGTGTTACAGTCCACAAAGGAGGGAGAACATGGGTCACTTACTTTTCTGCATTTGTATTACTTCACTTAGTATGACACTGTCTAGTTCCATCCATTTACCTGCAAATTTCATAATTTCATCTTTTCTTACTGCTGAGTAGATCTCTGTAAAAAACATACCACATTTTCATTATCCATTCATCAGTTGAGGGACATTTAGGTTGTTTCCATTTCTTATTGTGAAGAGAGCAGCAACAAACATGGATGTGCAGGTATCTCTACAGTACGATGAGTCCTTTGGGTACATGTAAGGGAGTGGTGTAACTGGACCATATGGTAGGTTCATTTTTAGTTTTTTGAGGGTTCTCCACACTGCTTTCCATAGTGGTTGCAGGAGTTTGTATTCCCACCAGCAGTGAATGAGCCTTCCTATTTCTCCACATCCTCTCCAGAATTAGGAGTCTTTCATTCTCTAGATCTTAGCCAGTCTGACTGGGGTAACATGGAATGTTAAAGTGGTTTTTATCTGCATTTCTCTAATTACTAAGGATGCTGAGCAATTTTTAAGATGCTCCTTAGTCATTTTTATTTCTTCACTTGAGAACTCTCTGTTCAGGTCTATCACCCATCTTCTTATTGGGTCATTTGTTTTCTTCTTTCTTTGTTTTTTTGAGTTATTCATATATTCTGGATATTACTTCTTTTTCAGATGCGTAGCGGGTAAAGATTTTCTCTGATTCGGTGGGTTTCCTCTTCCCATCTTTTTGTTGTTTTCGAGAAACTCATCTTACCTTCAGGGATAGATACTACCATAGGATGATAAAAGGATGGAAAAATTATTCCAAGCAAATGGCTCTAAGAAGCAAGCAGATATTGCAATTCTAATATCTGACAAAATAGACTTCAAATTAAAACTCATCAGAAGAGAAAAGGATGGTTACTTCATTTTTTTCCAGTTAATTATTTATTTAATAGCCACACACTTAGAAAAAGCATTTCATTACAATAGCATTGACATATTCAATAACAATTTCCAGAGCTAAGACGCAACTCTTTCAGAATTGGCTGTAAATTTTTGGGTTTACAGTTGAATTAATACAGTTATACAATATTGTACTCAGTATAAACCTATAAGACATAAAATTGAATGAGGTTTTAACCTTTAAAAAAAATCTCCATTTCATTAAAATACACAGTTTCATACAGAAAGATTTATTTTTAATGCAATTGACATTAAGATGTTTGCACATGTGTTTCTACTCTCTAAATATCTGATTATTACTAGTCACAGTTGGTTACTTTCTGAGCATGGATATAAAGTCATCAAGTAGATTTCAATGGTAATGTTTATCACCTCTACTAATTAACATGAAGCAAAGTTTTATGCTTCTTCCTCAAATATAACTCATTTTTTATTTATTGAGTTTTTTGGAGTATTTCATACAGACAATCTGAAACAATCTTATTCATCTTTGTACACGCATCCCAAATGTCACCCTCCCATAACTCCCCTCCCACGCACACACTGGAGCCTATATATTCTGTCATCCCTGTTTCTGTCCACTGTGTTATCAGTGCCCCAGCCGTTCCCAGTGCTAGTCCATTAAGAAAAAGATCTCCATTTCATTTTAGAATATATTGTTCCTTGCAGAAAGACTCATTGTTTTTGCTACTAACACTGAGATGTTGGCACATGCATCTCTAATCTGTATTCATCTGATTATTACTAGCCATAATCAGTTTCACTTGGATCCTTGGCACCTGTGTATGTCTATAAAGTACTCG